CCCTAAACCCCTAAACCCCCTCAATTGGGGCCTGGGGATTTGAAGTCCCCCAGCGTGAGAAGACGATGCGTGTTCACTGCATCTTGCATCTCTTCGCGATGCTTGAGTTTGCATCTGATGCCTTATAAATCGTACCTAAACCACCATCTGTGCTCATGACAGGTATGTTAGAGGCCCGTAATCACAGATGCAAAGGATCTCTAACGTCCCAGGCCGTCTGTTCAAGTCATGCCTAAACCCACAAGCGCATACGAACTCTTAAACCCCCAAACTGGACCAGCCCGAAAATTCAGGAACCAGGCTTCAGCAGTTTCGGACACTTATCAAAGGCCTTGTCAAATCTCGCCAAGGAGTGCTGGACGCACGGGAAGGACGGGGCCAGCGCAGTGCAGTTGAGGGTGGGGGGGCGGGGCGGGGGGGGGGGGAAGTGCAACTTCGCAAGCGATTTTGACACACCCACAGTTTCACGGATTCGAACTTTGAGTGACTGAAAAGCGAGGCATGTACTCCAGTTTCGCATCGAACACTCGTGCTGCTGAGGGGCTCCCAGTATTGGTGCAACCCTAAACCCCTGAAACCAAGCCCCTCGAAGCCTGAAGGACGAAATTGGCCTAAAGTTGGCCTAAAGCCTTTGCCCTGAAGCCCTAAGCCCAAAATGCGCTAAACCCTCAACCCAGAAACCCTGATTAAATCCCCTTAGAACTCCCTGAAGAGGGGCCTCACACTCAACGAGAGCTTCCCCAGGGCCCGGACGGCTCTTGCCGTGAGAGGCCTCGCTCACAAGTTTCCTTTGCCTGCAGAAGGCTCTGGAGGCTGTGGTCACGAAGGGTGCAGGGTTCAGGTTCGAAAGTTTAGGACTTAGGGTTTAAGAGTCGAGCTTCACCTAAGGGGAGCCTAGTTCTGGTTAATGTTGGAGCCTTCGTAATAATTAGACTAGGGTTTTTGGGTATATTATACTATAATCATAAGAAGGGACCCCCAAAATAGTGTAGCTCATTATTTAGGCCCTTTTTTTACTGATTGAGGGTGCTTCCGCTTCCCCCGGGGGGCGTTGAGTGCTGCTGTTGGGGCTCCGCCCGCTGGTGCTGTGGCCCAGGGCTCAGGCCTAGGGATTCTAGGAGCCTTATAATAATTAGAATAGGGTCTTGGGGTAGATGATACTACTAATTATAACCAGGAACCCCCAAAATAGTACCCCTATACAAGGACTTCGAACTGAAGGCGTTAAGGGTCTAGGGGCTCTGGCTCCTGCCGATTTTGCGTTTCGGGTGTGAGCCATTCTGCTCTATTGGGGAGCATCTCTCCCTCTGAGTCGGATGTACAGCAGACACAACCACGGAAGGGAGGGATGTGAGCATGTATGTATAAACACACCCACACACCGATTGGGCCACTCTACATGTTTGTACCTGAACGTGTGTATGTATGTGTGTACGTCTATATGTAGGATATAGAAACGATTTGTCATGGACGCGGAGCGAAAACAAGCAATGACCGGATCAAAGTCCAGCAGAAACAGTGGCCATTAGTTCTGTGTTCGGCTGCAAAAGCCCGAATCTAAACTTGAGTGGTAGCCTACACCCTAAATTGGAAACCCTACATCTTCAACAGAAGGCAGAGGGTGGCTCGGAGCCTCAACAACATATGGGTGGTTGTCAAAATTATGGTCCCTTTTTGGGTCCTTACTATAATACGGCACCTATTATTTAGGGTACCCCAAAAGGGACCCTAATTTTGACAACTACCCATATACAGTAGAACGCTGACCCAGCCGACGCCACAACTCCGGAGACCCCAAGAGGGGCAAGCCCCAAGGTCCCACATATACGGTTTAAAAGTATTGTAGAGTTATAGGGTTGTAAAGCCTATGGTTAAACCCTAGGCCATATAGGGTTTAGGGTTTAGGGTTTAGGGTTTAGGGTTTAGGGTTTAGGGTTTCCTCAACCCTCAGCCATAAAATCCGAAGCCTTGCACCACAAGTCACAACATTCCCAACATCCCACCCACCCTAAACTCACCACGCTCAGACCTGAACCTTATCTCTCCAAAAGCTCCTTGGCTTCTAAATCCCAAGCTCTGAAGTTCTCTACCCTTACAATCCTAAGGTTCCCTACACCCTACACTCTAAACCCTAACCCCAAACTCCCCTAAACCCCAAACTTCCGGGGTTCCTAAAGCCACTCCTCACTCAACCTGCTGACGACACTCTAACTTAGGCTTTTGTTCTTTTTTTGAAAAGGAATTTGGGGCACATCCCAGTACAGCTCAGATCAAGAGCTCTGAGGAACAGAGGTTTCTGTATTCATAAGGCTAAGGACGCAGCGGCAAAGGGTTTCCTTGAGGTCTACTGGTCATGTCGCACGAGTCTTGTCAACACAAACAGACTTCAGGTTAAAACCTCAGTGCCCTAGTTAAGAGTGAAGGGCGGGTCCTAGCTGATCTGAGATCCGGTGCTCAGTCTAGACCCTGCAGAACGTCACAAACTGCCACGATAATTGCAAGTCCCGAACCAAATTTGGAACGGTTGGTGGTTGGGCCTGCTGACTTACCACACCGACTTCCCGAACCCTGAAACAGAAAACGCTAACAATCTGTCTCTGTCTCTGTCTCTGTCTCTGTCTCTGTCTCTGTCTCTGTCTCTGTCTCTGTGTCTGTCTCTGTCTCTCTGTCTCTCTGTCTCTCTGTCTCTGTCTCTGTCTCTGTCTCTGTCTCTCTCTCTCTCTCTCACTCTCACCAAAAACTGATCAAATGAAGCCTGCTGCTCTACACCCAGCAACCCGAAGCCATAAACCCCCAAATCTCAACCCTTTCGCCCTAAACCCTAAACCCTAAACCCTAAACCCTAAACCCTAAACCCTAAACCCTAAACCCTAAACCCTAAACCCCTAAACCCAAACACCTGAGACATAAAACATCCTGAAGCCCCAGAGCCCTTCAACCGAACTTCAACCCTTCCGCTCTAGGGTTTAGGGTTTAGGGTTTAGGGTTTAGGGTTTAGGGTTTAGGGTTTAGGGTTCAGGGTTTAGGGTTTAGGGTTTAGGGTTTAGGGACCAAAAAAGGGCCTCCCCAACACCTGTAAAAGCCTTGACAAAACCCTCAAACCCAATCAATAAATCCTTTGAAACCTTATACCTCTCTAATCATGGACCCAGATATACTGTTACTATCAGTATTATTACTAATAAACTTATTGTTACTGCTACGAGTATTATTATTCATGTTATTACTATTCTCTAGTTGTCAGGACAACCATTGAAACCTCAACACACCACCGGCCTCCCGAACTTTCCCCACGGCATTGCAAAGGTCTTCTGACTGGCCGATCCGGTCCGGATGAAGCTTCCTGTTTAGGGCGTTTAGGGCTTAGGGTTTAGGGTTTAGGGTTTAGGGTTTAGAGCTGAGTAGGGCTTTGTGGGGCTCAGCTGCGTTGTATGATGGTTTTTTTCAGGGTCGTATAGCAGTTTGGGGCTTTGGGCCCGGGTTTTGGATGGAGCTTCCTCTGGCCTTTGTTGTAAGGGCGCCCAAGGGTTTGTGTAAAGGGTTTTCTCAGGGTTCTATGAGTATACTTGGAGGATCATGGGACTTAGTAAGTAAGGTCATAACTACCTTAATTGGGGTTATAATTACTTATAAGTATAGTTACCTTATTAATAACCCTAGTTACTAAGTCCCATGATCCTCCAAGTGAGGATGTTCCGCACTACGGGTCTGGTGGGGAAGGCGTCGCGCAAGAAAAGAGATGTTACAGGATGCTCTCTGGCTTCTACTTCTCAGCTGCAAAGACTATATGACTATGTTACAGACAATATTGCACAAAAAGGACGGAACCTTCGAGCTTTCTAGGAGTCGCAGGTTTAGGACGACCACACCACGACGACGATGCTTTCCAAAGAGCAAAGGAAGCCATGAAGACGGGGATGCCTCATCAGCGTCCGGTAGGCGCGCTGCACCGTCGCCACTTCTCGCGTGGCGGTCGGCACCTTGCATGCTTTCACCGATATCCCATCAACACTGAGTTACCCTTTTCCAAATATATAGTGCTACTACTAAGGAGACCCCACAAAAAAACGGGTATGAGAGTACCCAGGAGAACCAGCGCAGCCGTTAGGGCCTCCGTCAGAAAACAAGTTTAGGGCTTACGGGGACGAAAAGGAGGATCCAGAAGATGTTGGTGGTGATGGTGGTGGTAGCGGCGATGGCGGTGGCATTGGGGATAGTCCTGGCCGTTGCCGTTGTTGGAACAGTAGCAGCAACACGAGGACATCCAACACTCGAGAATCTGGACATCTTGAGTCCTACAGTCCTACATGTTACATCCTAAAGACTCAGCCCGCTCTTCTAAGTACACCGACCCTTGAGGCATACGGTCCCCTAAGCCACGGCATCGGTGAGTAGCCACCTTGGGTCCGAAAGCGACGCAAATGTACCCAAGAGCAAGTTTGACGATCGGGGGAACCAGACACAACTGCAAACCTGGAGGAAGCCCCCCCAAAAAATGGCCCGTCTTTACATTGACAACCAGAGAAATCCCGCACCCCAGACTCATAGCCCGCAAGCAGCAAATCCTGCAACCCTGAACTCGACTGCAAGGTTCGATACTTCAAAAGGCGCTGTTGACTTCTCTATAAGGCATCTGGTTTGGGGCCCTAAATACCAAACTGCCAACACTAAAGCTTAAACCCCAATCCCTACAATTGGAAGGCTCTCATCTCAAAAATCCTGAAACTGTAAGCTTTAAAGCCTAAACTTCAGACCCCCAAACCCTAAACCTTAGACCCTAAACCTTTGACCCTAAACTCCAAAACCCCAAAACCCTAAACCTCGCTGTGGTCTGGTTCCGAGGGGCTCCAAGGACGGCGAAGCCCCAGGAAGTGGGAGTCGGGAAAGAATCGCGCCGCAGGGGGAGGATGCCTGTCACTTTCTCGGGTTGAAGGGTCTATAGGGTTTAGGGTTTAGGGTTTAGGGGTTAGGGTTTAGGGTTTAGGATTTAGGGTTTAGGGTTTATAGGGTTTAGGGTTTAGGGTTTAGGGTTCAGGTTCGGCTTTAGGGTATCGAGGCTGGTTCAACAGGAAACAGGAGTGTATACGGGTTTATATAAGGGCTACTATAAGGGTTATACAGGTATGCTTAGTCTAAACTACGCTACCGTAACTCTTTTTAATTCGGAAAGACTCGAAATATAGGGTTGAGAGCGGTGAAGGTTTGGCTCTTGGTGGCCCAAACCCTAAACCCCCAAACCCCGTAAGCCAAAACCACAAAACCGCAAAACCCCAAAAGCCTATACCCTACCACCCGCCATGTGCCCTAAACCCTAAACCCTAAACCCATTCTACAGGTAGGGACGGTAGAAGTTCAGGACCTGAGCGAGTTGGGAGCACGCTCCTCGCTGCTTAAAGGGCTCGATCCTCAAGTTTTCTGGGGCCTGACACCAAGGGTTGAGGGTTTAGGGTTTAGGATTTAGGGTATTTGGGGGTGGGGGGGGGGGATTTGGATAGACAGTGACTTCTGCTGAGCTTAGAAATGCTTGGTGAATGCTGCCTTCAGTTGCACTTGGTTTGGGATTCTAGGCAGGGCTGAGGTTGCGAACTTGCCTATCTGGTCCTCCAGGCACAGTGACCTCTGAAGGGCTCAAAGCTCCATCAACCCGGAACCCAGAGACTCCAACACCCCTTAAATAAGGAATATACCTTAAATCTTATCAGGGGGATCCTACTATAATTTAAGGTATATTCCTTAATTAAGGGGTATTGGAGTCTCTGGGGACCCTGAACCGGAATCGTGTCGGCATCGCGCAAGATCTCTCGCTGGGCATCCTATCAAAGAGCTGAGAGAGATGGGCGGAGTGTCGGATTTACTTCCTGTACGGCCCGGGGGGCCTTTGCAGGCTAGGGCTTTATGTTCCGGGGTTTCGGGGAGAGCGCGTCTCCGGCCGTCCCTCTCTCTCTCTCTGCCTGCCTGCCTCCCTGTGCATGTAGATGTTATCATACGCATGTAAAATATATACATGCTATAGTACTCTCAGTACTCTCAGCTCAGAGCTTCAGGTCGTAGTGGTTGTCGGAGTGGGGCCTGCTAAGCTGGTGATGTCGATCCTTTGGGCATCTTTGTGGGGGGGGGGGGGCGGGGGGTGGGAGGGAGGGGTCCTTGTCAGCACAAACAATACAAGGGCCTTAATGGTTCCAATAGGGTTTAGTGGACCGAAGGCTATGCTTGATTCAGCAACTTTCGAAAGGTCATGGGTAATAATTGTGTCGGCTTCTATAGTAGTAGATGTTTACGGCTGCAGGATACGGCAGCGTCGCTGAACCCCCACCCCCAAGCTGTAGGGTCGCATCGCTTGGGGTTACGATTAGAGATTTTGAATTTAGGCCGTGAGGGTGAGAATTGGGCCTTAGTGAATGCAAGATTCGGGGTGTAATGTAAGGCGCTGTACATTTGACTACATGGTGGGTGGAGCATTCCGTGATGGTCCCTGAACCCTAAACCCTAAACCCTAAACCCTAAACCCTAAACCCTGTGCATCTCCTGAATGATCGCCAGGCCAGTCTTGCGAGCTGCAGGTTTAAACACACAGCTTCTTACTTGAGTGATCAAGAGTTGCTTAAGAAAGGCATAAGTACCGCAGTTGTGAGTACAAGCGATGAAAACTACAGCTAGGTACTTACCACTTCGTCCCCTGGTATTCTAAGTAGGCTCAACTTCGAGACCTACGTCGCAAGTTCAAGTCTGGAAACTCATACGGAAGCACCAAGGCCCTTAATCAAACTCAAGAACAAGGAACGGCAAAGTCTAAATCATCTACACAACTAGCCTGAAGAATCCCAATAGCTTCATGGCTTGGGAATGCACCCTGCTATGTCATGCTGTGCCCTTGTATGTTGCAAAATAAATGGTTGCCAAGTATTGAAGCATCTGCAAAACCAGTCAAGCCTCAGAAGCCGCGATGCTATCAGCACGAAGCCCTAGACCCTGAACTCAAACTCTCAAACCCCACAACCCCCAGACCTCGAACCCCAAAACCATGAACCCTAATGACATTGTATCTTATACATATTTATATATATATATATATGTATTTTTAAAGGTAACCTTACAGTAACTAAGGGAGCCCTGTAACAGGACCCCACGCCTGTTCGCGGTCAGCAGGCGCTACGGCCGGCTCGGTGGCTTTCGCTGGCGCCGGCGCGGCGGGTGCTGGGGCTGCGGCGGAAGGCGGGGCCTCAGATGTCATGGGCTTTAGGAGGGACCCTTAATAGGGACCCTTGTAGGTTATTGGGTTAATATGGAGACTACCTGGCTATATTAAATAATAGGGTTTCGGGCTTAGTGTTTAGGGGTTTAGGGTAGGGTTTAGGGGTTTAGGGGTTTTGGGTTTATATAGGGTTTAGGGTTTAGGGTTTTCGAGGTTCCAGGATTTAGGGCATGGGGTTTAGGGGTCATGTCCCCGGACACTCCAGAATCCTTGGAGATGCTCGTATCAGGAATCTCTGATTTCTCTGTGTGTATACACCAGTTTAGACTAGACAGCAGCTTGGGCTGAAGCGTTGTGCTGGGAGTGTAAAGAGTTCGGAACCTTGATTCTGTATCTTACGGCGGTCGGCTCTCTTTCTTCGGATCTTCAACGGAGGACGCACACGTAATGAGCCTATCTGAGATCGATACTTCGGTCAGAAATATCCGGCGGGGGTCCGACGGGCACGGTCTGGAAACTGCTACTGTCTAGCACTTGAGGGTTTAGGCCGCCGCGACTAAATCGATGGCCATTCTCGAGTTTAAGGGCCAATTGTGGGTGTTTGAGGCCTGTCGCTTGGACTTGGGTCCTCAGCGGGTGCAGTTCTCCCTAGGCGCAGAAGGAAGCCTCTACCAATGACCTATGCTTTACCTCATACCCGAAGCTCGACTTAGCCAACCCCCAAACTTGATTGCGCCTAGATCATGGGAATAAAAGAGCCTGATGGGGAAGCTTGTGCAACCTAAACCCTAAACCCTAAACCCTACGCCCTAAACCCTAAACCCTAAACCCTTAGCACGATCCCTCTAAGTCGGGCCTTTGCTCGGAGACGGATGCTCAACCCTCGACCATAACCCACGAGGCCAAAACCCCGAAAAAAGAATTGAGTAAGTGTTCCCCTAAGCCCTAAACCACCAGCCCTGAACCTTCCCCCCCAAACCTTACAAAGCTTAAGGGAGAGGAGCCTATGTCCTTTTTCCGGGCTTGGCTAGGTCGGGTTTGGAGGGGCTTTCAGGGTCTAGGGTACGGGAATTTCGAGTTTAGGGTTTAGGAAATTAGGGCTTAGGGTTTAGGAAACTAGGGCCTAACTAGGGTTTAGGGTTTAGGGTTTCGGAGATTAGGGGTTAGGGCGGATTCGCAACCCTGCCGTTCGACTTGCAGAGCTTCGCTGACCTCACATAGCCGATCCGGCTAGCTGAGGCTACCCATGCAAACGGATTCTTAGGGTTTAGGGTTTGGGGTTTGAAGGGGATTTTCCGAGACTCTCAGACAAAAACTGCAGTAATCCCCTCTTAAAACTGGGGTTTAGGGTTCAGACAAGCTCGTTCATACTACTGGTGACTACTGGTGCGAGACAAGCACCCCCCATGACTCCAGCCCCAAACTCAACAGCACAGACGTCGCAGTCACTTCGAAGAACAAAACCTATGTAATTATTCTGACATCTATATCTACCAGGACACTGCCTGCGCAGGTGACGAAGCTTTCGGCTGCTGCTTGGACTTGAACCTGGCGCTTGAGGGTTCCATTGGGGTTTAGGGCTTAGGGTTTTATAAGGGTTTCAAAAGGCTCCTGCAATGGTTGTAATGAGTTGTGTAAGGGCGGCTCCGCAGGGGCTTCACTGCTTGAGCTGTACGATTTTTGGGATTTTAGGGCCTTAGGTTTCGGGTTTGTAAACTTTGGCTGGGGATGGGATGTATGCAGGTAGGGCACACACAGACGGAACGCTGGCATTGGTCTACATCAGGGGATGCCCTCCCGGTACGAGCCATAGTAATCCTTTAAGATAGCGGTGATCGACAGATGCTCGCTGTCAGAACGGACACCTTGGCCCCAAAATCTGCAGAGATTTTGCCAGGGAGGCCCAGGGTCGCAGCAAGGATTCGCTCAGAGCTTCCAGCTGATTCAGGGTTTAGGGTTTAGGGTTTAGGGTTTAGGGTTTGGGGTTTAGGGTTCAGGGTTTAGGTTGGTAATTTTTCTCCATTTACTGGACCCTACTCCGAAACCGGTCTTCGCTGGAGCTTCACGACATGGTATTGAAAGTTGCAGAAGAGAGGGCGACAGCACTTCAAACCCGAATCATTAACAGCATTCCGTCTGCCAGAGCTCGGTATCGTAGGAAACCCAATTTCAAGTACCATAGGTGCAGTCACTCAGAGTTTCCGGTGGGTTGGAAGCCCGGAGTTGCGTACTATAGGAGCCTTCATACTTCTTAAGCTTGCTTTGGCAGGAGCGCGTGTACACGTTGTTTTTTCTTTATGGTTGTGTCAGGGCTAGAGTGGGATGCGATTGCTAAATCTTCTTCAGACCCCTGTATTACTGTGAATACCATTGATACTGGTGACGCGCTTCTCTCTGAGGTGCTAACAAGACTGACAAGGTGGGATGAACTCAGGGAGGGAATCGCAAATCGGAGATCTTGTATAACCTGTACCAGGGAGCCTTCATCCCAACCTTCGAGGCCCTTTCAATATGGCCGTGATGACTAGGCTGATGTATGGGGCTTCCTTTGTTGCATAGGTTTTTGGGCTCCTTTCTAGTACGATTATAATAAGGAACCCCCAAAATAGTATAGGCAATTATTTGGGCTTCTATACTTCTATAGTACAACACCCTCCTTGTCTACAGGGTAGCAATGTAGAACCCCCATCCTAAATCCTAAACCCTAAACCCTAAACCCTAAACCCTGAAAGCATTAACCTCTGCTGGGCGCACTCGGCCAGGTACTTGGCGCATTCGTCGACGGAATCGAACCGCATTCCGCCACTGGCTTGGCCTTACGGTTTTGAGTCGTCTGGTTTGAGGTATTGGGTCTTGCTTTAGGGCATGCGGCTTTGAGAAGTTTAGGCTTACCGTTTAAAGGTTTATACCGCCTGAGGCTCTTAATTTTCGGGGCTTTGCAAGCACCTTGGAGTGTGTCAGATCTGGCGGCTTAAACCCAAACTAAGGGCAACCGCATCGTAGCCCTGCGTACAAAGATCCTTGAAATAAGTTGTAGTGGGAACTTATGACACGGTGCCTTGAGGCTTCCGAGAATAAACAGAACGCCGGCCAACAAGGGGTTTAGGGTTTATAGGTTTTAGGGTTTAGGGTTTAGGGCTTATAGGTTTTAGGATTTAGAGTTTAGGGTTTAGGGGGATCAGCCCAGGAGAGGGATCACAACTTGACTTGGTGGCAGCGGCAAGCCGGGTGTGAGCGGGAAAAATCCCTTGATGTGGACAGGCCCTTTGCCAAAAATGCCGAATTGGACGAGTTCGTGGTGGAAAATGTCGCCCTCATGACCGCTTATATGGTGTCGCAAACTCCGTGGCTCGCCCGACGAGGAAGATTGCAAGACCAAGCTCCAAGCGTGCGGATTGGGAAAAAAACCAGCATCTTCAAAAATGGGTCGATTGCGCCCGTTTCGGCCCAAATGGTCCCAAATGCTTACGCCCGCATTTCTTGCACTCCTAACCCCTCAGCCCCCTGTGCGGGGCTGAGTGCTGGACGTGGAGCTCATGGAGGGGATAGAGGCTCCGCTTCGGAATCTTGTGGGGTTCTTTAAATGATTTCCATAAGGGTTCGATGATGGCTTGCAGCTTTTAGGCTGTTTTGCTTTTCGGGTTTTACTGTGTACCTTAACGTACCGAAGCCTAGTTTTTTGTAGGTTCTTATTCTAAACGAATTTATAGGGACCCTACAAAAAAGTAGGTTCTGGTAGGTTAAGGTAGGACTGAGACTCAAGGTAGAGATGTATACAGGAGCCTCAACACTGCCAACAGTGTGGGGGGGAAGCACACATACCACCCTAGCAGTGATGACGCACCTTTAGCGCTTTGAGGATCAGGCTTTATAATAGAGGGGCCTTAATAATTAGAAAAGGGCTTTGGGAACCATCATATCTACTATAATTATAATAAATAAGGAACCCCAAAATAGTATAGGTACTTACTACTCTAAATGAAATAAGGATCCCCCAAGACCTTTAATTATTAAGCGCCCCTACATCAGAGGGCTGGTTTTGCAACGAACGGTTGATGATATAAATCCTGCATTACCTGAAGGACCCTAAACTATAGGAATTATGGTATACTCCTGATTATGGGTAACCTAAACCCTATACCCTATTCCTTACTATGGGTAATGCAGGATTTATATCATCAACCGAAGGATTGGGAAGTTATCCTGAAGCTGTCTCCGTCCGAGCGGCAAAGGTCCTGCAATTCCGCCAAAGGGCGCTCTCGCCAAGTCTCGAAGCGGTCCCATAGAGCCTTTTTTTAGGGTTTAAGGGTTTAGGGTTTAGGGTTTTAGGGTTTAGGGTTTTAGGGTTTAGGGTTCAGGGTTTAGGGTTTAGGGTTTAGGGTTTGAGGACTCCTACCATGAGGTACGGTTTAGCCCGAACGGTTTAGCGATTTGGGGTTTGGGGGTTCAAGGGTTTAGGCCATCAGGTGCCATTGTGGCAGGTTTGTACGGTTTCCGATCTAGGTTTGCTTGTGGCAGAACGCTCTGAATCTGAACCCTAAACCCCAAACCCTAATTCTTAAACTTTAAACCCTAAACCCTCAACCCTAATTCTTAAACCCTAAACCCTCAACCCTAAGGCTTAAACCCTCAACCCGCAACCCTAAGTCTTAAACCCTAAACCCTCAACCCTAAGTCTTAAACCCTCAACCCTACTTCTTAAACCCTCAACCCTAATTCCTAAACCCTAAACCCTAATTCACCCTAATTCTTAAACCCTAAACCCTAATTAAACCCTACATAATTCTTGAACCCTAAACCCTAAGCCCTAAACCTCCGACCCTAAAGCCCCCAGGCGGGACCTCGAGATCCGCTTTCTCCACGCAGCCCGCGCAGTTCAGGCCCTGCTCGTGCAGCCTTGCCTCGGTCTCGCAGTGCTCTAGGGCTTTTGGGGTTTAGGGT